GATGAAGGGGAGGGAGATAGCCATGGCGATCATGAAGGACATGAGAGGGATGGGGCGGAGGAGGATGGGGTGGGGGTTTTGCGTTTGCGTTTGCGTTTGCGTTTTGGGAGGATCGTTGACGGTATGAACGATAGGGTCAAGGGGTCTGGTGTATTCGCCTTGCCAGATGGTGGATTTGTAGAGGATGTAGCGACGGTGGCGGAGCTTTGCATGGATGTCGTCGTGCAGGGCCTCGTCCATGCCGTCGAAATCGCGGAGGATATGCGATTTCGTCGCCATGGCTGCGATGCCGGCGACGCCGCGCGGGTCGCTGAGGAGGCCCGATTTTCGGCGCAGTTGCACCAAGAGGACGAGGGCAAGGAGGGCCACGGTGATGAGACAGGCTGTCACGAGACGGGACCAGACGGGGTCGATGCGGAGGAAGTATCGGATGCCATCACAGGTTGGTTTGTGGCTGTCTTTGCATTTGGGGTTCTCGACCGAGTTGATGCTGGGGGATTGCAGCGAAGGTGCAGCGGTTGTAGCGAGGATGGTCCCGATAGAAGAGACAAAGACGGCCCAGTGTCGATACTTGACGGCCTTTATTGGGACAGTATATGACCACAAGGTTACATAGTCCAGGTTAAGACTCTGAGCGGCGGTGTTGCCCGTCGGTTGGGACAGCTGATAGTACGGCTCCAGTCTCTTGACCTCATAGTCGGCAATCTGCCACAGCACACCATAGGTGACCATGACTATGGTGGGCAGATACTTCCAGCAGAAGAATTCAACAGTCGGCATCTCGGCCACACTGTCGAAAACGACGAACCCGCGGCCCTCTTTCTCCCGTTGTTTTGATATCTGGCAGAGATATTCCTGAACGCCGGCCAGCGTCAGCGACACTATGATCAGCATCGCAATGTAGTAGCTCTTCAAAGAGAATGGTTTCCAGTCGGGCTGCTCCGGGTCTGTCGGAAAGAAAAAGCTGCGGTGGGCGAGGTTCGTGCCGACTCTGGTAGGCCCCGAGGGCTGAGATTCTTGAGCGGTTGTGCCTTCTAAAGAGCTCAGGTCAACTGCAGGTGAGACATCCCTCACGGATACAATCATATTTGTCTCGTTGGCGAGCCGTTGTCCATACTGCCGAAGGCTAGCTGGTCGAGAGACCTGGTCACTCCGTGGATCAGGGGGTACATTGAGGTGAGAGACTGGGGAAAGGATGTCGGGAGCAGAGACTTCGCCAGGCCTGACAGAAATCGCTGATCGAGGTTCTCCGCTCGCCGAGGGCAAGGGTTCATCCTTTGGGGTAGGTAAAACAGTGTTGCTCTGGAAGAAATGCGAAGATGGCCCCTCGAGAAAAGAAATGTCCACATGATACACTCCCTCGTTCGGTAGTTCATCTAGCTCATGCAAGACGCTGAACCGCTCCTGTCGTGGAGTAAATGCTCCTCTCAAGCTCGGTGATCGAAGTGATGATAGCCGTTTCAAGAGTGAGTTCGATCGTGCGTTACTCGGCAATTGCACCGACCGATGCCGATGACCGTGACCTCTGTATGCAGTATCGACAGTCCGTGACGTGGGGAGGAAAGTTGCACTCCTGATCAACCTTGATGTAGCTGAGGTCGTATCAGGGATGGGGTCGCTTGCCGTGAGTGCACTTTGGCCCTCAACTGCTTGAACGATGAGCGCATCTGACTCCATGAACCGAGAATAGCATGTGCATACGTACTCTGATCATGGCCGAAATCATAGGATGCAAAATCAACATCAGTTGGGGCATGTGCCAAAGTAGAGAGAACCTGATTCGGCGCCATCTCACAAAGCAGGTATGACGATCATCAAAGTCCACGCAAGCGATAGCATTAACATTATCGGAGATACCGACTCGCGAAATGCAGCAGCTAAAACGCTTGTGTGGTGTATGTAGATGAATGAAGCAGGGGAAAGCCGAGAGCACAACCGTGCAGCTCCATATCGTAATGCGGCTGGGTTTTCAGCTTATCTATCAGTCCGTGACCTGGGGAGGGCAACTTAAAAGATCAGCGACACGAGGCGAGGCTGCGAGATTCCGCATAAGCCACGCGAGAGCCAGAGCTCCCTGCCATGGTGGAGGATTAAGCGCCATCCTGATCTCTGGGAAGACGAGAGACCACCGATAGGCTGGCAGGGATTTTCCAACTATTAATACCACTTAGCGGCATGCAGAATACCTCGAGCACACCAGATCACTAATCAAAGCTTGTGAGTATGAGATTGTTGCCATTTGCGTCGTGGGAGGAGGTGTTCGCAGTTGTTGAGTTGACATCCTGACTGCCAAGACAGACTGATCAACAATTCAGCATCAAGCCTCGACCCAGCCCAACTTCGTGGAGCAAGACCGCCTTGTTGATCACTTCTCATGATGTCGACTATGCGATTTTGCTTGACGGTCAGACCTCACACTCCTGCCACTGTATCCACATTTCTCCTTGGAGCTCTGATGCTCCAAACCCTGTCAGCGTTGGATGAGCCATGATGGAGGAAGAAAGTCGAGAAAACAAGGATTGTGCCTGTCTGTGCTTATTTCTTACCTTTCTGAAGACGAGTCCTGATGCATATTCGTCTCCAAAGGACTGGTTTTTCTGAATTTGGGCGTTTGCTGGCTATTCGTGGCATGGACACATGCAGCACCGATGCTTATTGCACGTGGAATTAATTGCGATCTGAAGACGAGTTTAAAGGCGCTGAGGCGTCCGTTCTTTCATATGCCACGGACTGGAAGTCTCGAAGAAGTGTTCGTCCACGGAAGGACTAAGGGTCCCATTCAAGGTGAAACAGGGATATTGACACTTGAAGTCATCAAAGCTACTACACAACAGATGAAACGGATGACCTTAATGCAAAGCACAGTCCCTGGAATTGTGTCGTCAGTCCCGCAGGCGAGAGCACAGTTCACACACTACAGCTCCTAGCAAATCTTCTGTCAAGGCAAAGACATCATAACGCTATAAGTCCAGGAACATCACCAGTCTATTCATACTACCTGCCTCAAACCCAAACAAAACCACAAAACTAATTTCTTAAGTCCTCTTCGTAGAAGAAGGCCACTTCCGAAACAAATCCGCCAAATGATCCAACGGCGCCGTAAGCAAACCCGCCGCCGTCTCAAACGGCGGTGCCGAAGGCGCCATCGGATGAGCGTGCGAAGGCGCGAAGATCTTCGTCCTGTTCAGTGCCTGTGATAGCCCGACGCTTTCCTCCTGCGAGAGCGCGTCGTCCAGCCGCTGGATATCGTCTTCCTCTTCGTGATGTATGTGCTCCTGGAGATCACTCCAGAGGGATTCAAGCGTGGGGATGAAGTTCGGGTCCGTGGATTTCATGTCCTGGAAGATCTTGAGCTGTTCTTTTACCTGGTCGTTGTCAGCCGGCTCGCACTCGCACCCACACCAGGACGTAGAACCTGGAATAAGGTAAGGAAAGGAGTACAACATTCTGATGCTCGACCCTATCCCTCCTTGCCAACTCCTTCCCGTCCTCGAGGTATTTCTCAAACGCAGGGTAAACGACCAGCTCCTCGCCGACTGTATGCCGCGCCAGTTCCCAGGTGAACTGGTTCTGGTACTTGGTCTGCTCGGCCGGATCGGTGGATTTGACGATCAGCTCGTAGAAGGACTTGATCTCGCGGTGGTCGTGCTTGACTGTGTCCAGGATGCGAAATTTGCGGGCGGATGCCCAGTCCGAGAAGTTCTGGACTTGGTCGCTTAGGTTGCCTCGGAGGATGTGAGGCTCGAAAATGCTATCGTCTGTTGTGGGTTTCCGTCCGTGTGTTGCGGCCATGATTCTCCAGTCTGAGGCGGCGGGGCATTGATTGAGCTGGATGAGAGTGAGGGGGAGGATGTGACTGCTGGTGTTGTTCGGAGGAATACTCCAGGAGTGTAGCAAAGACATCATCATGAAGAAATCCGCGGTTGGATGTCAGCTGGTTAACCGTCATCCATTCATCACAAGCACAATCTGAACTACCATATTGATTGTATCCTCAATAAAGCCAAAACACCTGTGCATGCTATGCAAACATCATCATCATCATCATCATCATCATCATCATATGCTGTCTTCTCACGCAATAACTCTTCATGAGCCCGCTATGCTTGGCCTGCTCGCCCACTAACCAAACACCAACGCCCTCACCTCAATACTCTCCCTCGGCTTCGCCCCCTCACGCGTCCGCGGATCCCAAAACGCAGAATGCGGCACCCGCTCCGCAATCTCGTCCCCCTTTGCCGCATGACTATCCGAGCACTTCAACAACAACCTCTCCTCATTCTCCATCCCGGAGAGATACATCCACCTCTGGTTGGGATTATACTTGACGGCCATGGTCTCGCCCGTCCGATCCGGGTAGCGATGCTCGACAGCGACCAAATCATTCCGGTTGTCAACGGACGGCGCCGCCGCAAACGCGAGCGGCGAGGACTCCACCCGTCCATTCAACGGCCGCCAGACGTTGACGATGCGGTAGCGCACGCCCTGGCTCAGGATGCGCTCTGCCTCCTGGGGATCCGCGACGTGCAGGCGGACGCGGTCCTGCGCCGCTTTGCGGGTTTGGTCGACGTGGGCCCTGTTGACTGGTTGGCGGGGTGCGTCGGGGTGTTGTCTGCGGATGGTGTGGTCGAAGATGATGATGCGCTGGGCGCCGGGGAGGTGTTGCAGGAGCAGCTGCTCGACTTCGGGGTAGTAGAGACGTTTGACTTCGGAGTCGGAGTCGAAGGTTGAGTAGGTGGTTGCTGTTGGGATGCGTTGGAGGACTTGGAAGGCGTGCGTGTCGAGGTTGTAGTCTGCTTCGTGGCCGCGGATGTCGGTCAGGGATACTTTGTGCACTTTCTCGCCGTAGTTGCGGGGAGGGAGGCCGGCGGGTGGGGTTTCGACGTAGTTGAAGGGCGTAGACCCGTCGGCTGGAGGCTCGTAAAAGGTTAACTCGACGTCGACGGGGCCCCGGGGGACGTGGTCGACGTCGGGGGTGACGGTACTAGTTGTGGTAGTGGTCGACATTCTGAAGTAAGTTCTTGAAGAAACAAATACCCCTTCTGTTTAGAGTCGGTTGATAGAGTGATAGACTGGGAGGACATCCTCGGCCTTATATAGAGACTGGTCATATCATCCTGTCCATTTGTAATCATCCACAATGATTCCAAAAGTGTCCGACACGGACGCCTCTCTGAATGTCTTCGATTTCCAATCATCCGCAGACAATGACGTGCTGAGAGACAACCAATCACAACAGCCAAAAGTATTGGGTTTCCCCACTTTGATTCCAGGTCAACCAATCAAAAGTAATATACAAGCAGAAAAATGACGTCAGGGAACGATTGGTAATCCGGCGTGATTTTCCGGCATGCCTTTGTGATAACATGATTGGCTGCGTCGGAATAAACATGCATCCGCGAGCTACAAAATCAATAATATCATCCTAACACCTATGGAGGTCAATATCAAATACGCTGGACCTGACCGTTTCGGCCGGCAGGCACATAGGAGAAGAGGAGGGACGGAAGTGCATCAATGACTTGATTATCCGAGATAGAACTGTGAAATTAGAACAAATGTACAAGTCCGCAAAGATCGGCAAATAGAAGCATCCGGTCCGATCGCAAGTGTAGAATCTATATTCGACACGCCAATCGCACGCAAGTGAACACCGAAGACATAGATAAATCACAGAAGTGCCAATGTTACCATCGTCGCCTCAGACAAGCGCGTGCTACGACAACAAAGGTGAAGTCGTTGAGACGCCAATAGCACCAACAAGCATGCCAGAACGCCGACATGGTATTTCCATGTCCCGTAGACCCTGTGCACCAATCCAATCCAAGACCATAGACAACGCCAGAAGAAAGTAGATGAGCCAGAAAGCATTACTCCTAGCCCGCTCTGGCCTTTTTGGTGCGCTCGTAGCTCTGGAGCTCCACGTCTCTGCCATTAGCCTTGAGCGGGTAGAGATGCACCCCCATATCGGTGGGAAAGTCGGGATGCAACAGACTGAAACGGTGCGGATTCTGAGGTACCCCATCCACCTTCGCCGGAACCCGCTCCACAAGCAGCTCGATCAGGTTACGGTCAACCCAACCAGCGGACTTGTTGTGCAAGCGGTCTAATCGAGCGCAATCGTCTTCCACCTCTTCATTCATCAGAGACGGCAGCGGTGGGGCATTACTGTTCGGTCTAGCGTGGTAATTGGCGAGAACGTTATACGGCAGATTAGGGCGGACCGCGGGCTTGTCCGACAGCTCTGCCAGCGCGTTGAGCGCATGGTTACCGTGCGTCCGTGTGGAGCGTGTCGCATGGTAATTCTGGCTGGCGGTGCGCATCATGTCGGCGGCCGGGGTGCCATTGTCTTCCTGCCCGGTACCGTCACCCGTGCCCGACTCTTCGATATCAGTATTATTCCCGTTTGTCGTGGTGCCCGAAGGCTGATCAGCCCGTTTCGAGGTGGAGAAAAAATGCACTGTGGCGACGTGAGCTTGATTGGCATGTGCGCTGAGTTCCTTTTCCGTGAACAGAGTATGGATGGAATATGCCGGTGCGTGCTGCTTCTCGGCCACCTGGGACTTGGCCCGCTCGGCCGGATTCGGATCGCGCACCGGCGAGCCAGTATCCTCCTCAGGCGCTTTCCTCTTCCTTTTATTGAACTCCGACACAATCCCGTTGCCCAGCTCGTCCAGGTCGACCCGGTGACGGGTATGCCGGGTTTTGCGATTGCCGTGAACCCCGCCAGGACTGGCAGGATTGGTAATGCTGAATTGATTGGGATGAAGGAGGAGAGCATTGGTATCGGCAATATCCAGCTGCTCCTTCTCCCGCATCAACCGGGCCTTCTTCCCTGAAATTGTCTGTACAAGCCGTTCTCGTAGGGTCGAGGAGAGGTTATTGTATTCTTCACCGGCGAAGTGCACCCGGAAGGCGTATTCCCGTTGGAACCTTTCTAGATTGTTATTATGACGGTGCTGCACACGTTAGTTTCCAACCTTTTAGGCTTGACAACGTAAGCAGAAGAAGAAGAAAAAAACTCACCACAAGCGCCGCCAATTCCGCATCCCTCTCCTCCTTAACCTGATTCACCTCCTGCACAAACCTCGAATACCACATCCCGGACAAACTAGCCATCTCCTTCGCAAAAGCCCCCCCACCAATCGTCTTCTCAATCAAAGCAGCGATTTCCTCTGCCGAGTCGGGCAGCGGGCCCGGCGAGTACGGATCCGAATTATGGATCAAAGTCATATCACACTGCAACGCATGCAGCTGCTGGCGGAATTGCGTGTCTCGATTCTGGCTGAAGGTTGCCGTGAGATCGTGCAGCCGCTCTTGTAGCGCTCCGCGGCGCTTGTCTCGTTTCGAGAGGGGGGCGTTCGCCGCGGGGCTTGGGGATCGGCCTCTAGGATGGAGGCTGCTGCTCAGTGTTTGTCCAGCTGCGCCGGTAGCTGGCGATACCGGTGCCGGTGAGTAAGCCATGGCCCAGGTGTTTTGTGAGGAACCCAGGGCAGTGTGAAGATATTGACGGGGTGGGAGGTGGGTACTGAAAGGATGAGTTGGCGGGTGGATCAGGTCCTGAAGTTTGATAACGTGGTAAAGGAGCTTGTTTGAATCACTGGAAATTGAAAGAAAGACTGCATGAATGAAGAGCAAAAAAAGAAGACTTCGGAGACAGAGCGATGCTGGGTTGGGAGAGGAGAGCCAGCAGCTTGGTGATGGAGAAGAAAGCGGGAATCCGGCCGCACGCCCGATCTGGAATAGCCCCGGGAGATTTTTGACCGCCCAAATGCCTCATTCAGCTCATACATCAAAAGGAGTCTTTCGCAACAGTAGGGACATGATATCTCTTCCATACCAGTACTTAATTGTCTCAATCATACAAGAGGCTTGAGACAATGACATACCTTGTCTTAATATCGATCAGATTGCCTTGTTACGAAACCATTGATCCAAGCAGTGCTACGAACTGGTTTTACAGATACTTACTTTACGATTAACTGACCCATTCTCAAGTCATTGATATATTGTTGTATAATTGCCCTGCAATCGTACATGATGAAGCTAGTTATACATTGTAAGCCATCTTCTAGTGTTGTGGACATGGGGCAAAGTTGGCTGGCCGGAGCCATCCAACCCATGCTCAAAGAGTCATCTCTTCAATTTCAAAAACGACAAAGCATAACACCCGGGTATTGTTATTCATCCAACCAAGCAATGCACGACATATGTTTCCAGACATCTCTTCATGCAAAAATCCCATATCGTAGACAAAACACCGTAGACGCCGCCATAATCACCTGGCTCAATTTTCTAACTTGGTAAAGCAAATAAAAGAAGCCAGAAGCAATGAAATCGATCTCCGGGAGATCTGTGAGATGCGTATCGCATCTAGTGTGAGCGACGGATGACGAACACCCCGAGTTCGACCCCGTCTCGCGGCTCACTCTCGTAGGGCCGTCTGCGGATCCCGTCAAGAATCTCACCCAGTAACATGGCCGAGGTCACTTCCTTGTCTGCAGCTAGGATATAGGGATTTGCGACATTGGACGTCGCCTTGTTTGTCGGCAGGCGACGACCATTCTGCCAGTAAAGGCTGAGCACTTCTTTCATGCGAGCCTTCTCTTGGTGGATGTACCACTCAGTCCAGAGATTGCGGTCGAGGTAGGCACTACCCTTTCGGGCATCAACAATGCTGAATTGAGAGGAAGAAGAGCTCAAAGCACGACATAACGAGGAAAGATGGTTCTTGAGGGTGTCAAAGTCCTCCATGTGAGAGACGGAAGACAACTTGCCCAAGTATCGACCAATATCGGCGGAGAGCTCGTTGACCACCACGAGCTGACGCAGCAGAGGATCGAGGATCGGTCCGAGGTACTGAGATTTGAAGGCCGAGGCACCCCTTCGTGTAGGGTAAATGAACA